TTTCCCTGCCCAGCTGCCTGCGCAGCAAGGGCCTCCCTCCCTTTCCCGGCCGGCCCCACCCCTTGGTCGAACTCCCGGCTGAGGGGACAATTTGCATACTATGCTTTTATTATATAGGATATATAGTTTCACTCAATATGACATGGAAATCTTCCCAAATCAATAAATATAGATCTCTTGCCCCCATTTTCAGTGACTGTGATGTCCTACTGAAGCTAGGTACCATAATGACCAAACCAATCCTCTGAATTCCCTACTGACATTCAGGTTGGGTTAGAATTTCTCATTCCTTTAAAAAACACTGTGATGTGGGCACACTTCCACATGTGCTGTCATCTCCTTCAGACAAACTCTGAAAAGGACAGCTGCTGGGTAAAAGGAATGCACACTTGGCACTTCATTAGCACCATCTACACTAATAAAAGAGAAGCATGGTAATTAGCATACGACCGCTACTCTTCCCATTGGCTAATCAGCATATCCTTATGCAAATTAACTGTCAGCCAAGATGGCGGCCGGCAGCCAGGCAGCTGGAAGCAAACATGAGGCTTGCTTGCTCCAGTGACTGCAGAGTCCAACGTTCCCTGCCTGACTTGCCGGCCTCTGAGCTGCAACTCTAAGAAACTTTGTAACAAATATAGAGGCTAAACAAAACCCCAGAAGCCAGCTTTCAGCAAGCCGGGATCTCAGAGCTGGAGTTATACATTGTTTCAATAATAGAACGCAATCAGTAGCAGAATCCTCAGAGCTAGAGCCAGAGCTAAAGCTGGCCCAGAATAAAAAAAGAAAAAAGAAAAAAAAGAGCGGTTGGGAGCTTCAGTCAACAACCGCCAGCCTGAAAGCAGCCCTCAGCCCCTCACCCAGACTGGCCAGGCACCCCAGTGCCTACCCCCACCCTGAAGCCTGTGTGACCAGCTGCAAACACTCATCATCCCCTCATCCAGGCTGCCTAGGAACAGAAGTGAGCACCTCCACCCTGATCCAGGATACTCTTCTCTGTAAACCAGCCGGCCCCCAGGCCTCTATCGTATATAGTAAAAGGGAAATATG